TTTAAAAAAAAAAAAAAAAAAAATTTAAAAATTATCATTATTTTTATTTAAAGTTATTCATAGTTCTTGAGGCGTCGAAATTAGATGCGTTGAAATCACCGATTGATGAAAGACCTGAATGGATATCGAAATGGTTTGATTGTATAGTTGATGGAAATGGCCAAGACGTGTGTTCACAATATTCAATTCCCAACATACCAAGCATTAATACATATGTAATGGCAGAAGGTGTCATTGCATCATTGGGCATTTTGATGTTTATAATATTTGGCACTTCAAAGAATTTATGGATGGAATGGAAGGATTTGTTGACTAAGGGATTTAATTTTAAAAAAAGTGATGTAATGAGTTTCTATGACACAGAACATAGCCAGCATGAAGAAAGTTGATCATGATGATAGGTCGTCATCATCATTGCCGTCCATCGAGTAAAGGAGGAATTGTCGAGTTATGAATATCATCAATAATAATATTATTTATTAGTGGAAGAATTTTTATTGTCTTGATTTAGAAAATTTAAGGCAGAAACTAATTCATATATATATAATTAAAATAAAGTTTTTTTTAATACTTTTTTTTTTAAAAAAAATAATGTTATAAATCTAGAAAATATTTATCGACGATGGAAACGTTTCTAAAAATAATAAAAAAAAAAATTTTTTTTAAAATAACAAATAAATGTAGTGTTCTTTCATCGATTACCAGCATAAATGTCAAAAAAAATTTTTTTTTTTATTAATTGATGTCTTTTCGTAAGAACCATTAGATTGAAGGTTTACTACTAATGTAGAAATACAAAAGATGATAATAATATTAATACGAAAGAGGGAAAAAAAGGAAACAATGTCTGTGTAATGGTGGTTGTTGATTACGCATTTTTTTGGGGGTCATAATGTTAATTAATAATGATAATAATAATAATGATAATAATAATTAATAATAATAATAATAATAATGATAATAATAATAAATAACATGAGTGCTTGATTTTATGTTTGTTTATCAATCATCTTTCATTTTAATTTCCAAAGTCAAAACGTTCAAATCTGGTTTAGCCGTTGGGTTTGAGGACAACTTTGTGAACAATTCAGTTTGTGTAATCTCCTCACACAAAATGGCAAAATAACAACAAAATTTGAACCTTATTATTTATCACTATCAATCTATTTATATATATATTTATTTATTTATTTTTACTTTATCTATTTATATAATAAATCAAAAGATATTGTCGAATTTTAGAAGTCTATTTTTTCCTTTATATAAACTTCAATATCCTTAAAAAAAAAAAAATAAAAAAAAAAATAAATAAATAAAATAATGGATAATAATAATAATAATAATAACAACAACAATAGTATTGACGAATTCGAACTATATAATTCTTCGGATTATGATGACAAAAAAATGACACCATCTTCACCTTCGACATCATCGTCAGTAGTAATTAAACCTCCGTTTCCACCAATAGTAGATACGTTGGGATTAATTTCAAAGAAATCGGTTGACGGAAGAATTCCTGCCAGGGCACCAAATGCGTTTATAATTTATCGTAAAGTTTACGTGGAAGCAGCCAGACAACAAGGCCACTACCTACCAATGACGGTCGTCTCATCAATGGCCTCCCAGTCATGGGAACAAGAACCAGAGTTTGTTAAATCAGAATATAAAAGGTTGGCAAAAGATGCTCTGACAATGAGAAATGAGGTTTATCCAAAATCGGGCAGAAGAAAAAGAAGAGATAAATGGAACATTGTTAACTTTCAACCTCCTCAATCTTCCTCAACTTCAACTAATGGTAATAATGATAATGAAGACGACAATAATAATAATAATAATAATAATAAAGATGATAACAGTAAGAAAAATTCAAATGATAAAAATCAACAAGAAGGAGAAGAAAGGCTTCAGCGGCAGAAACAGAAACAACAAAAACCAAGAAAAAAAATCAAAAAAAACAATTTCGTCAATCCCAATCAAAACAACAACAAAAACAACATTTTCATATCTTCTTTATCACCAGATGTTATGAACAATCAAATAGCCTTTGCTGAAAATACTTATAATAAATTCTATGCCACCGCCAGCGATAATAATATTGCTGCCACCACCACCACCACCAACAGTAATGATAATGCCAATACAATAAATTATGATCAATTGATTCCTTTATCGAATTTATCAATAAGCCAGGATCCAATTAACGCCAACAACGAAAATAATCTACTACATCCACAAAATCCAACAAATTTAAATTCAACTACACCTTCAACACATACACCACCAATTGAAAGTCTTCTTGACATGACACTCAGAGATGTCATAGAAATATTTAGTTTAAATTCTCACAATTTAGCACAATTCAATAACAACAACAACGACGACAAGCAATTACAATCATCACCCAATAGTTCATCTTTAATATCATCATTGAATGGAATAATAAATTCTTTTTTAAATAATAATAATAATAATAATAATAATAATAAAATGAAAGAAGATGAAATTTCACCTTTATCATTATATTCTTCTTCTACTTCACCACCACCTTCCTCACCAACGAGTTATTATTATTCCTCTACACCTTCGTCATCTACTTTATCTCTATCATCAACTTTATGCGGTGAAGAAGATTACCAAAAAGAAGATTTCAGGAAAGAAAGTTTTAATCTGCCTCCTTCTGTTAGTGCAAATGATATTTCTTTGGTGAATATTAATAATAGCAACAACAACAACCACAACAATGATCTCGATTATAATTTAGATTACATTTTTAATTATTAATGACCATTTAATTAAGCTTTATTTGGATATTTTTAAGAATATTTTTACTGTACATATATATTTATTTTTGTATTTTTGTTTATTTTTATGATTTTGTATCTATTTTTATGTATCATAAATAAAGAAAACTTTTTTTTTTAGGTTCACCGTGTAACAAATATATCTCTATTTCTTTATCATTCATTATTACCTTAAAACCATGGCATCATTATTATTATATATAAGTAATTCTCACATTGATAATTTTTAATATGGAAATAAGACAAAAGTTATTGTTATTATTATTATTATGTATTATTTTATTCCACAAAGAAATTTCAGGGGCATCACAATAGTAACCCCAATAACGTTAATTATTATTATTATAATAATAATAAAAAAAAATCAGAAAATTGCCGGAACCTTTGTTTGTTTACTATCAATAATTTTCCTCGTGCATATTACTTGGAAGAAGGGCATGATGGAAAAGTCAAAAGTTGAATATCGTTCAATATGCTAAAAGTTGTTATATAGTTTTTTGGTATCCATCAACACATATATTGTTGGTTGATTTCATTGATGCTTTGTCGAAACTTTCAATTTCGATTGGTAGCCTGGGTGAATAGTCAACGATGAGAAATTCAACGCTCCAGGTATTTGCTTTCTGGGCACATTTCATGGAAGTGGGGCAAAGCAAGAGAAGGTAAAATTCTAGAAATTAATTATTCTTGTTTTTCATCTATATCACATGGAAGGTAACATTACTTTCATGTGAATGGTTATATGCTAACTGTGGCAATTCTTAAAATGGACCTCTCCCACTTTTTCTTCACCTTGCCAAATAGCATCATTGGATGTATAACCAGGCTGCTTCTGTCTTGTTACACCATCAGCGAGAGTTTCAATTGGCATTATACGCCAGTTGGAACAAAAGGTATTGATTATGATAGAGCTTTTTCAGACATTTGTGACAAGTAATTTAGTTGCTGGCAATTCTAACATAAACTGGAAGAGCTGATGGAATGTAAACAACCAGGTTGTAACATTAATAGATGCAAAGGATGCTTCACAAACAACACGATTAGTATGTATAAAGAAAGGTAAATGTTGGCTATGATTCGTACTGTGCAACCAAAACAGACATTAAAAAAAAAAAAAAAGTAATCAAACTTTTTGTTCTATTTCCTTTTGGATCAAAACTTTTTGTCACTACATTAAAAATAATTTTTTTATTTACCAATTTCAGGTTATAGGAAACTAGTTTGGCAAGATAGAAACCAAGACCAAAGATTACTATTACTATTATTACTGTTTGTGGTACGATTGTGATGATCCCTGAAATTTCCAGACATAAATGTTCATTCATACTTTATATATGCAATGCATTGATTTAAATATATTGTGGCAACATGTTCCCATTTCCTTATATTTAATATATGATTTACTAAAAAAGCATTAGATTTCAAAAAAAATTATTATAAATAAAAAAATAAAAAAAACTTTTCGATTTTTAACTTGAAACTTTTTTAAACTTTTTTGATTTTTAAAAATTCAATGACAAAAATCTCTCAATTAAAATGATGATCAAATACAGCGGCGATAATAAAAACTATAAAAATAGAAACGGTAGCAATAAATATAATCTAACAATAAATATAATAAATCTAAAAAATCTAAATATAATGACAATGGTATTAATAGTAATTCTAAGCCTTTTCACATTGGAAATTTCATCAGAAGTTGTAATAACAAAAACAATCACGGATACAGCTACAAAAAAATCAACAGGGCCGGATGTAACAGTTACCGTTATACCAAAGTAAATATTCATTCATTCATCCATTTATTATTGTTGTTGTTGTTACCATCATTATTATCATATTATTATTATCATCATCATTATTATCAATCAGAGATTAATTGATAATTTTATTTTTATTATAGCACAACAAATTCAATGGACACTTATAATCCAACAAACTATACTCCACCACCAACAAAACCCTCACCAACAATATCACCACTACCAACTCCGACTCCTAAATCTTTTCCATCCTCGTCTTCATCTTCATCTTCTTCTTCTCCCTCCACATCAACGAGCCCATCTCCATTACCATCATCATTAAATAACACAAATGATTCTATTGAAAATTATGAATTGAACAATTTAAAATATTTATTACTATTAAGTATCACTTCAATATCGATAATAATTTATTGTATATAATAATAATAATAATAATAATAATAATAATAATAATAATAATAATAACTAACTAACTACCACTACCACTACCACCACTATCGCCACCACTAATTAATAAATAACTAATGAAAATAATGTAAACTTAGTAGAACGAACGTTCGATTGATTTTTTTTAAACTGAGATTCAAATTAACTTGTAATTAACCTTGTAATTAATTAACTTTGTATAATTAAACTCAAAATTAACTTGGTTATCCTCTGGATAGGTTCACCAAGAATCATGTTGTTATTATTAGTTTTATAATGACAAAAAAATATCATTCAAATTAATTTGTCTTTATTTCTGTCTTCTCTGTTATTATTATTATGAATGCATCGAATAACCACCATTTTCATAACAATAATAAGTGTCATCAGAGTTGTAAACCATCAAGTCAAAATGACAAAAGTAAAGACATGTCATGATCAAAGTAAAAAGTCAAAAACTTTGATGAAATCAAAAATCATTCAATTGAGATCCATCATTACAACAATTGTTATCAAAAATCCAAACGATATGTATCTTTTTTAAAGTACCAAAATATATGGAATCAATGAAAAGAATAGAACCATTGATTAATAAAATGTAAATATATTTGAATGTTTTTATTTAATAATAATATTAAGTATGATGGAAGTATCAGAGGAAAAAATGGCCTTTTATTAAAAAACCAAATGTGAGAGAGTGTGATTGACAAGTAAGGGTGAAGCTTCAATTGGAGAAAACGAAAAATTAAACTATTGTATATGGTACAGTATTATATGCATGTTTTTGAAAGAAAACTTTCCCAAATATACTTTATGGAAAATAAAATGTTTTATTTAATCAATTAATTAAACAAAATCTTTAATTATTCAATACAAACGGGAGTTCATAATTTTATTATATTTTTTACTTTAGCCAAAATGGCTCTTGGCGCAAAGTCAAAAGCTTCGTAGTATATTTTCGGGGAAAATAAAGGCTTGTATTAACAGTATTTATAATTAACTAATGAACCAACGATTGATCAGACTGGTGGCCAACGAAAAATCAATCAATGGTTATTTGATAATTGTGTATATTTTTTCTTCAATGGCGTGACACGTAGAACATGGGATGGATGTGATTGCAGGAAGCAAAAAATTTCAAAGCATCAAGAATATTTAATAAATATAAACGCAAGATTTAAATATAATCGATATACACAGTTTACGTTGGCTAAATCTGAAATAATGAATCCTTTATTATCAATTATATATAAATTATATCATCAAGGTATAAAATGAATCTATTACCCGAGGTTATAATAAATATTTTCTTTAGCCATCCCAAACTTTCTTGTTTACCTGGGTGGAGTGGGTAGGCAATTAGAGACTCTCAATCGTAAAGAAAAATGTTCTTGGAAGGAATTATAAAAATGATATTGTTTATAAGCATCTTACAATGTTTGCATTAATGCTATTATGGATTACATCACATCATATCAATAATAATAAAAATTCTATGTATTGGTATAATCTATCCTATCATCCTCTAAAATTTGATCCGTATATGGCATCCAGTGTGCTGGTTTTTTTTTCAGAGACCAACTTTGTCAGTATTGTTGTTGACTGGTTAATTTTGATTATTATTTTACAGGATGCGATTTTTTTTTTTTTTGAGAGCATGTCTAAGATGCTTGGAATAGAGGTTGGTGGTCAAAGAAATCCTTAGTCAACTATTAGTTGTTCATAAAGACACTAGATCAGAATACTCATCGGTTCATACATAAATTATCATAACAAAACCCAAATTGAAATTGACATTATTAAATTTCTTTAAATCAAATATTTTGTTCCTAATTAAATAAATATGATAAAATGAGAGGCTATGTCACATGTCTGACATACGATTGGACGGCAATTCTATAAATCCGTTTTATTTCTGTAATTGACTATCTAGTCGTTTATTTTAGTCTTTTATTTTTAATCAACTATTTAGTCAACAATTTTAATCGATTGTCTAACAGTCAATTCTGATCTCTAATTTGGGAAAGTGAACATTTATATCTGGGACTGTCTGACCAACAGCAGATCTAAGATGAACTCAAAAGCCAAGCAAGTCTACTCACTGATAGAATTATCTGTAGTGATATGAATTTTTATTATTGCTTAATCCTTTCCTAGTATTAGTGTGTGGCATACCTTTTGTTACCATATAAATACATTTGATGTTATTATTCTATAAAATTGATAAAGAACAAATGCGAAAATTTTGGCAGAGTTGGAGGTATTTTTGATCCAAACCCCTTTTTGTGGTTCCATCACCTTGTCAACCAAAGTGGTGTGGAATATTTTAGTGGTTGAACTTCTGCTTGGTTCCCTTTTTTTTTTTTGTATGTTTCCCAATTTTATATAATTGCAAGTTGTAAAATTCATTTCCAAAAAAATAAAACAAATGGATAAATCTGAGGTGACAGATTTAATAAATCTTATTTTCACAAATGCACCATGCTCTCACACCTTCATTATTTAGAATTTTTTACAGATGAAGCTTTTAGACAAGTGAGAGACTTTGACACTCTGACAACAATCCAATTAATAAGTGAGCCCCCTGAAATTTAATTGTATCATTTATTGTTGAGGGGTTCAGCCTTCATAGTAGTGTTGGTTGTCAAAACTATTTGGAGAGGCAAAATTCAAAGCTAAAATCAAAAAGTTATATATCAAAACTAAATCAAAAGTCAAAAGTCAAGACTAGTTTCAACTTGTGGTGAAACTTTTTGATTTTCACATAGTTGCGAAGCTCTATAGTTTTGGAAACCAACACTACTTTGTGCTTGTACACAAGATGGATGAAACAATTGATGATGTTTTAAATATTCAAGCCTTGAAGATACACTTCTCCATGTGTAAATAGTGGTCATTAAGGAGAATTTTTGTATAAAGTTACAAGAAAGGTTAAAGGTTTCTAATGAAATAACTTTGAATGTGAACTTAAATAATGAAAAAAATGAAATTTTCTTTCAACTAATAGCCTTTTATATCTTGTAAATTTTGCAGTGATCCTTCCCTATACAAAGTTTAGATACTTAGAATGCACTTAAAATATACTGATGGAAGAGAACAAGAACATTTTAAGTGAGTTTTAAGTATGTTTTAAGTATATGAAATTATACTCAAAACACACTTAAAATATGCTATATACTTAAAATATACTTAAAACATACTTTTGATGGTAAACTAGCATACTTGAAATACACTTAAAATACACTTAAAAGGTTACTTAAAACATACTTAATTTTGTTCATTATTAAAAAAGGTATGTTTTAAGCACATTTTAAGCACCTTCAAGTAGATTTTAAGCATGTTTTAAATACATTTTAAGCACCTAAACTTTTTGTAGGGCAGATGACCTCTACATTTTCTGTTGTTATGCATAACACCACAAAAGTTCTTCAAACCGCAACAGAAAATTCTCACAATAGATTGGTAAGAGATCAAAGAGAATTTAGGGAAAATGATAGTTGCCTGCTTGATTTTCTAAATTCGATTGTAGATGATGATATTGTCAAAAAGGTAAAAATATAAAATCACAAATCACAAATAATGTTTAGCCTGAAATATCTTTTCCTATGCATAGACTAATCACTAAAATGTGGTTATGATTTTGAAGCAATCGAAGTAAAGGATGAATCATGTGATGTCATTGTCATAATTAAAAATCCTACTTGAGTATTGTATGTACCTAAGGAACCGAAGCGAACCACTTCCACATTTGTACATAACATTTGTTCTTATTCTATTTAATTTTCTAGACGAAATTGGACATGTATAAAAAAATGATGACTTTGGTGAATTTCATCCTAATAAAATCGATTTAACGGATTTACCAATTAAATCTCGATATAATAATAATAATTTCCCAATTATCCGCTAAATCGGAACTCACTGTGTATAATGAATTTTTCTATTAAAGAGTCCTTGGATAATAATCAATTTGCACTCTGTCAGGCCAAAAGTATCAACCTTTAAGCCTTGAAAGGATTTCATATTGTTGATACTGTAGTTTATATAATCAATCGGATATTTCTTATGCTAAGCGACGGATGGTTTGTATTGATCGTGAATTTTAATTAAGTTATATTATGTTTGTTGGTTTTCTATTTATTTTAACAAGAAATTGACTGATTATTATGTGATGTTTTTTTCAAAATAATTATTAGCATTCAAACTGGTGCGGTATTAAATGCTTTATAATAAAATATAAACTAAATTGGTAATTTTATCTGTGAAAAAAGAATCAATAAAATCAAATAGTAAAAAATTTTGCATCACTAGATATTTTACTATATCTTCACTACTCCATTATAAATGGTAGTTATTGCATGCATTGTCATTCAATAACTAGTTTATTGTATGTATGCCAATGAAGTTACGTTTATTGTTTTTTTTTTTAATAAATTGACTTCTTTATGATCTTAAATATTAAAATGACAGAATCCTTTGTACCCATCGTTAGAACAAATAAAAGAAACTTAATCTTCGGGGCATTCCGGAAACCACAAAAAAAAAATACTAATACTAATACTACTTTCTGGGTGAACGTTTTACATAAATACAGATCAAATCATGAATTTACAACTCCAATAGAAGAAATTCAAAACAAAGATCAACTTGAAAAAGAACTTTGCCAGCTTGTATATTAATAATGATAAACTTTTTGATAATTCCAATCCAAATTTTAGCAAAAGGATGGGAGTAAGTATTTTATTATTATTATTATTATTATTATTATCAATGCATTATACCACAAACACATAAGGTGGCAAAATGCTCACACTGTTCCATATTTTGTCACGTTATTATTAAAATT